ATACATAATAATCATGTAAAATAATAAAAAAAAAATTAAGAATAACTAATGCTGAGTTATTACCTCAATATATTCTCAAGCATTAAGCTTACCTTCTCTCTCCTTAAATTGATATAGGATTTGTTCAAAAGCATTGCTTAAGTAGCTCTATTATAGATATTAATTTGCTTTTTTCCTACTTTATCATTTTCAGTTTAATCTAAGTTTGCATTTCAGAATCTTACTTGAAGTTTGTATAACTATTTTTTTTTATAGGTTCTTGAATAGCCTTTTGAATAGTTTTTAAATTACCTTTTAAACTATAATTTAGAACTTTTATAATAGAAACTTTACTATAGTAAAAATAAAACAAATTTAAAATGCAAAAAAAATTTTATTAAATATAAAATTGAAAATTTAATCTAAAAAATAAATAAACCATAACATATGCTTTAAGAATCTTAGGTTAAAATTTTAATATCTTTAATATTGATTAAGTTATATCAAGTTAATTTATCTAAAATTAATTATAAAAATTAAAATTGAAAAAAATATGTGATGATAAATTTATAAAAATAATTCTTTTATCATTTGTATATTTTATTTTAAATATTATTGTAAAAATTGAATTATTTAAAGATATATTAGGGTATAGCAAAAGAAATGCATTGTAATTATACATAAATTGGATTATAATAAATTATTACTAAAATATTAGATTTAGTTCCTTTAATTATAATTCAAAAATATGCAAAAAATTATAGTAATATATGATTATTTATAAAAAAAAGTATTACTAAAAAATGGTAGAATTTATAACTAAAAAATGTATGTCTTATCATTATGTATCTGATGCAATTTATAATAAAATAATAAAATAAAATAAAATAAATTATTTTATATAATTTTTAATTCTAATTTTTGATTAGCTTGAATATATATTACACAGTACTTACATAATTTACAAAATTGAAAAAATCTTCTTTTATAAATTAATTCATTTTTACAAATATAAATCAATTTTTTTATTTGATTAAAATTTAATCACAGGATTAATTTTATTAATATTTTTTTTAAGTTTCTATTATAGAGGTTTTATACTATAATACTTGAATTAGCTTTTGTAATAGTTTGTAAGGATTTTTTTGCTTAAGATATTAACAAATTTTTTGAGGAGTTGAGTATTCAAGTTCATAATATTTACAGATTGTATCTTTCTTATAAATTCTTGTTTTTCTAATTATAATATTAAATCTAACTATTATACTATTACTTACTTATAAAATTTTTTTTTAATTAATTATTTTTTATACTTATTACTTTTAGATCATAAGTTTACTGCCAAAAGTATTATTTATAGAGTTATCAAATCCTTTTTAACTATTTTAAAACTAAAGTATTAGCTAATTATATTAATTAATCTTTTTAAATTTAGTGATAAAAAAGTAAAATAATTAGTAAATATTTAAGTTTTTATTTTCAGTAATTCTAAAAAGACCTGTAAGAGAGTTTGCATTAGGCTTAAAAGTTGTTGATTCCATTAGAAAGCTAAAAAACAGATATCATAATTTGATTATAATAAGCTAATTACTTTAGCTTATAGTCAATACTTATTATATATCAGAGGTAATTATATTATTTGATATTATGATAGCTTTAAATTAAAGCTTTAAACTATTTCTGATATACATATTTCATTAGATTAATTGATGGCAATTGTTAAAGTTAAACTGTTAATTCACCAGTCAGTTATAAAATAACTTTTAGATTACTTTTTGGATGACTTTTAAATAATTTTTAGATAGCTTTTAGATAGTTTTAAAAAGCATCTAAAACTAAGGTATAATAAATTAAAAATGTAATTAATTTTAATTAACATATAATTTTTTTACCAAAACTTTTATTAGATTTATATTATTAAGCTTAAAGTTATTCTTGATTAAGAAAATATTAAGACAATTTTGCAGATGTTTTTTGAACTTTTATAAAGAATATTAGATTTAATTTTTGATTAACATGATTATATATTATTTTATAAGTTAACTAACATAAAGATACTTTTTAATATATTTACTTTTTCATTAAATATATAAAATTTCTAATAGGTAGAATTATTAGATTTAAATTAATATATATTATTTAATGAGATAGCTTATTCAAAAGCATTTCTTAATATTTTGTTAGACATATAATTTTCAGCAGAATGGAATTATTAGACTTAAATTTTTTAATACTTTTTTGAAGTCACAAATATAATATTTGTAGATAGCTAGTATTATTGAGATATTTCTACTAATGATATAATAAATAAATAATTAAAAATTATGAGTTTGATGTTAAGTAACTTTAAGGCATATAATAATAACAGAAACTAATTATCTTTTAATAATATAATTATAAAAGACTAATATACCAAAAAATTTTTAAACAGCCATTCTATTTGTTAAAGTTGTAAAATCTGAAAGTGAAATAAGATGCTAAAAATATTAGTTTCATTAAGTATTTGCAAAAAAATATTGCTAAAATTCTAAAAGAGATATTAAAATAGGAAGATTAGATTATAAAAATAATATAAGTAAAAGGTCTATTAGTATTTGTTTGAAAAGTTTTAATCAATTTAATCTATTTAGAATCATTCATAGTATTATAATTAAAGAAGATCTTTAAAGAATATTTATTACTGATATAAAAAACTTTTAAAAAATTAGTACGCTTGACAGAGACAATTCAATAACTAGAAATTGAGGTTTGACTTGAATAATCTTACAATTGAGTAAGTTAAAAAAAAGTTTAAGGATCATAAAAATATAATCTATAAGTATTTATTAAGGTTTAGATTATTTTTAATAATAAAAAAACCAGTTTTTTCATTTATTTTAATAAGATTAGCAAATTTTACAGTTTATTTTGAATCTAATTGGATTATTATTTATTTTGATATGAAATTTTATAATTTATGAAAAAAATTCAAATTTTTTGAAAATCTTATAACAAGTCTTTACTTTAATTTATTAGCATTTTATTTTATTTTTTAAGCAGCATTTCAGGCAGCATTCAAAAATTTGAATTGCATATTTCAAATCATTTAACACAACCCTTATTTTATACAATTTATATTTTTGATCCTAAATATATGTATCTAGAAAATAATATTTAAAATATTTAATTATTAAAAAACTTAATAATACTTTTGATGATTTGTAGTATTTATTGTAAATTAAAATTTGATGAAAATATAAAAGAAAATAAATTGGATGTTTATTAAAATAATTTATAACACATTTACCAAATAATATTGAATTATATTTGTTATCTATATCAAGTTATGATATTAAATGTAATTTTTCTTTATATAATATTCTCCTAAATAATGATTATCAAAACTTATCAAAGAATTACTTAAACAACTAAATATGATATATTTTAAATGAGATGATTAAATTATTTTACATAAAATCACAAAATTAATAAAAATTAGATCATTACAACACAATTGATTTACATCACACAAAATTTGCTTCTGATTTGTGCAAGGTTTCACAAAATCAAAAGTGATCATAAAAGAAAAAAAAGTCCAGACCTAAAAGAAAATTATTTACTTTCTTTCAATGGACGCGTTAGTTGAAAGTTTATTGAAAGCTAATCTCGATGATGAACAAGAACCGTCAAGATCAGCTCATGCTTCAGACGCTTCCGATGAAGAATCAAATGTGAGAAATATAAATGATTCCCTCCTTTATCAGCAATTAACCTTAATATTAATATTATATTTGATTAATTAAGGTCTCCTCCACACGAAATAATACTGTAGAAACACCTCCACAACATGGTGGCCCACAAACAGGTCCTAAAGGAGTTTTGGCAGATCATAGATATCATAAACAACAAGTACAACAACAAAAGGCTGCGGCTATATTTGCACATAATGAGCGTATGATGTCAAAAGCTTTTATCACTACGACATACCAAGAAGACCAAGAAGAAAAAGCTCAAGAGAATCTATTAAAAGAATTAGAAAATATTAGCTCAGACGATGAAGAAATGTTAAAAAAATACCGTAATCAAAGATTAAAAGAGATAAAAGGCGTGACAAATATTAATAAATCATTAAAAAAAAGATTTGGTAGTTTAAAAGAAATATCTGCAAATCAATACGTCAAAGCCATCGACAATGAAGCATCTAATGTTTGCGTTATTGTACATTTATATGAAAACGTGAGTTTGTTCGTTGAGTCATCTTCTATATATCTCTCTATCTATCTAATTTAAAGATTTAAATAAATCTAGTCAATTCCACAATGTAGGTTATTAAATGAATGTTTGATCCACTTGGCTCGAAAATTTGTTGGAGCTAAATTTCTCAGAATTCTCGCACATGATTTAGAATTTGATCCAATTGGTTTACCTGCTTTATTAGTTTACAAAAATGGTGAATTAATTGCTAATTTGGTTAAAATAACTGAAGAAATCGGGGAGACAAATTTTGATGCAGATACTGTAGAAGAAGTGTTAATCAGGTATATCAATTTATTTTCGATATTTAAATTATAAATTTTTATTCTAATCAAAAAATTTTATTCTCATATGAAAGATATGGTGCAATTAACGTAAATGAAGATATTGACGATTTATTATTCAAAGATTATTCGATGTCTCGAATTTTTGGAACTGGTAAACATGATGATGATGATTATGATGATTAGATTTATTCCTCTTTTTCTTTATTATAATTTATTAATAACGTTAATTTATTTATTATTATTATTATTTATATAAATTGAGTATTCCCCTTTTACTTCACCTTTTTTTTTTTCCTTTTTTTTTTTTTTTTTTTTTTGTTTTTTGTCCGTATTATATTTATTATACTTAATATACCAACTTACAATGTAATAATCTATCATTGATCTTCATCAACATATTTTGCCATAGGATCTTCATGTCTAAAAAAATTAATGAAACCATTTAATGAAATATCCCAAAAAAAAAAAAAATAAATAAATCAAATCAAATCATATTAAGGCTTACGATTGTTTTTTAAGCCTATATGCTTCCAAATCTTCTTCAGTAACTTCGGCCTCAGTAGATACATTTTTGCCCATGTATGCACTATTATAAGGACGTTTTCGATCATTCATTTCTACTTCTTCATCTTTTAATTTATAACGTTTTTCTTCATTATCTAGTGCCTTCTTTAATTTCTTTGAATCCAGTTTGATTTCTCCTTCTCCAAGATCTTTGCGTTTAAGATGTTTATTAACATCATTGTCTGTATTATTGGATTTAGTATTCTTGTTTCTCTCATTATACAACTCAACAAGAGTTTTCTTTGAAGTTGATAATTCTTTATTAGCAGTAGTTGATGCTGAATTATTGGTGCTAGAACTTGCCAACGGATTTGACGAATTTGCTACCTCGATTCCAATCGAACCGGTACAGTACGAATTTTTGATAAAAGAACGACAACACTTGTATCCCCATTGACCGTCAGCCCAAGATGATCCCCAAACTGATGTGTGGTTATTTATGTAAACTGTTTAAATAAAAATAATATATTAATAATTTTCTGATATAAATTTAAGAATTACTAAAATTACTCAACTTTTAACTTACCATCTTCCTCATATTTGGATTTGGCCTTGGCTCTCTCTTGACCTTTTATCACTCTACCAGTTCTTGAATATTCCACATATGTTTCTGTTTGAGCCAAAAGCAGCTCTTTGGGAGGAGCATCCAAATGTTCTTCGCCGCCATACTTGGCCAATATTGAATCTTTGCTTGTATCTTTAAGTTTCTCTTTCTTCTGGAGATACTCACGATGTAAAAGCTCACCTTGAGTAGGATTGGCCTGTAAATGCACATCCGTTCCCTTATCATATGCTTGCCAAGCAAAGAGTTGAAGATTGGCCATCTTGGGTGCATCTCCTGTATATCTAACAAAGTTATCCCCTGCATAATATGCTTCAGATTCTTCCACTTCTCTATTCGGATTATCACGCATAGAACGAGTTTTGGGATCATAATATGCGGAATCGATATCCAAATTTCTTAAATATTTAGCGGTATCCTCACGAATTCTTAAATTTCTGATAGTCGTTCTCGTCTTTGTATTAACTTTCTGACCTGGCATATCAGATCTTTCAGCATACTTATCTTCATCATCCTCTTCGTCTTCACTGGAGAATTCTCCAGCGGTACGTTCACCAGTCTTTTTTACTAATTCTATGGTACTTTGTTTATCAAGTTCGTTAGCTTTCATTTTGCGACGAGCTTCTTCAATCTTTTCATATTCTTCATAAATTTTAGAATGTTCGGACGGGTCATAACCATTCCATCGATCTCTTTTTGAGTCATAATCTAATTCAATATCCTGAATGATTTCATCAGGTTTTATATCTTTACCGGTCCATTTTGCACCAGTTTTCCTTGGTCGATCCATACAATCTCTTGTTTTATGTGTCTTTGCTCCACAATTCTCACAAGCCCCTTTACGAAATTTAGTTGCTGCAGGACCAGCACGAAGTCCACGAGCGTACCATTTATCATTTATTGTTTCCGCTTCTTCTTGTTGAACTCTCTGATGTTTTAAGGAAGGTCGACCTGTATCGAGATACCACGGTGCTTTTGCGATGTACTGTGGAATGTGAGGATTAATGTCTTTGCCTTCTTCATCTTGCTCTGCAGGAGCTGTCCCAGCTTTTCTTGCAGCTTCAAGATCTTTTTGACGACGATAATCTTCACGACTTAGTTTATTGCCTAAGTTTTTTTGAAAATTTTTTTGATTATTAAATCTTTCAAGTCAACATCGAACTTTAAAAATATAAAAACTCACTTGAAGTAAAAGAAATTGAAGACATTTTTTTTTTAATTAAAATACGGAAATACGGATCTATTTATTTATTATATGATGAAAAAAGTTCAAAGCTTGTCAACATATGACGCACCTCAGTGATGCGTATATGTTCTTTATGTCAACCTACGCACCTCATATTTGAGGCACGTCATATAACATCAAAATCTGCATTGACTGCGATGCAAACACACTTAATAATACATTTATGACTCATTCATCCAGTTAAAAAACTATATTGCGTCTTATTTATTAATATCCATACAAGAAACCCAATGTCAGATTTTCGTTATAGCCGTAATCAAACTTACCGTCCAGAATATAGTAGAGATAACCGTGAAGATAATAGACACCGTCGTCGTAGGTCCCGTAGTAGATCTCATAGTATAGATCGTCATAGAGCTAATGGTGTAATAAATAGACAAGAGAATTGGCGAGAAGACTTTCCTCAAAGGGGTAGACCAGAGGATATTGGTGCACGCTCATGGGGAAATAAGTTTTATTATGACGATCGTGAGGAAAACAGTAAAAGAAGGAAAACTAGACATGAAAGAGAGAGAATGCCAGAGGTTAGGAAGGGGAATTACTTTTTTCAATATTTGAAAATAGTGTTTTTTATTATGTATGAATTTTGTTAACTTAGGGACGTTGGAGAGAGCGTAATCTTGGCGAACCCAATAATCATGTTATTCTACAAGGATTGCCACTCGCAGCTACTGAGAATGACGTTCGTTTTCAACCTTTTGTGTTTTAAATGTTTATTAAAATTTTAATATATATATTTAAACTAATTGTATAACAAATTTTGGTTTAAATTTCCTTTATTCATATTTTAGATTCAGCATACTCTTGATAACCTGCATGCTAGTATTGAGAATATACGTTTAATTAGGGATCGCCGCACAGGTTTATCTCTTACTACTTACATTGAAGCATAAAAATCAAATCAAATAAATAAAAAGCTTTCTGAAAATTGTTTTGTAAATAATGCAAATTTTTTGAATTTTGTTTACAGGGGATTCACGCAGATTTGCCTTCGTTAAATTTACAAGCGTTGAACATGCAAGACAATTCATTGAAGCCAATCATCCTTTTATCATGATGGAAGATATTCGTGTTCGCGTTGAATACAGCAACAGTGCATCTGCAGAGGATGAAGGTTGGGCTTGCAAGAATGTGTGTATAAGAATAACTTTGGTAAAACTAATCTTTCAATCATAGACAAACGTTACTAAAACTAATATTTTTTTAGTGTGGATTCCTAAATTACAAAAAACGTGAAAGTTGTCACCAATGTCATCATTCGAAGAAAGGTGTGATTAGATTGTGGGAAAATACCACTGAGCCCTTTTGGGCATCAAGTCGTGCTACTTAATTATAATAATATTTAAAACGACTTGCTCCAAAATCCAATATATATTATTATTTGTATGGTTTCTCACATTATCTTTAATTATATTTGGTGATGCAGAATCCATGGTGTCTGGCTCACTTCATTTGGCACCTACCAATTCGTTCTTTAATGATGGAGCAAATGATTTAGCTCAAGTTCCACATCATATCTTATTAGTCCGTGGATTAGACCCTTTGACTACCGAAGAGACTCTTTATGCCTCTGCGAGTCAGGTGACAGCTTTAAGAAGAGTTTTGCTGATTAAAGATCGAGCCTCCAGGATGTCTTGGGGATTTGCATTTTTAGATTATCATGATGTTCAGGTTTGACACTTACTATTGGGAATTTAATCTTGTTTTTCTAACATATATACACACACATATATAATTTGACGTATTTTAACGAATCGAGTCGTATTACTCAATTGATAGACTTCTTCATATGCCTTGTCAATTTTCAACAATCCTCACTATTATCCAGGTGGATTTGTGGTTGATTCACGAACTGTTAGTATGACATTTGCTCATCCTGGAAGTTTTACACCAGCTTATGCCACTACTGAGTGGACTATTTGGGGAGATGATGGGATTGCCATGTCATACTGGGATCAAAAAGCATATGCAGTTGAATATTGTGGGTCACAATGCTCAGTTCCAATTGAATCCAATATGCCTTCATCGTCTACAAATTCGACTTCTGTAAATGAGGCTGAAAATAAAAGCCGAAAAGAGAGTTCAGAGGCGACGAAAGAAGTGATTGCAGTTCCTGAAACAAAACGTGTGTTTCTCACCTACTCTTTAATGAACTTTAAATTTTCATTAATTTTTTTTTACCATATAATTAAAAAAAAAAATTTAGTTAACGTTGAAGATGAATTGAATGCTTTCTATTCGGATATGGGCGCAGTTTTGACATCTACTGGAAAGGCTGAGACTAAATCTATATTTTCAGTTTCTGATATGGTTTCAACCTCAAATAATCAGAATAAATCAAATTTTTCTCCAAAGAAAAATCAGGATTCTGAACTTAACGCGTTTTATGCAGATCTTGAAACTGTTGAACAACAAATTAACCCTACTCAATCTAAAGGTAAGATTAATTTTAATGTTTATTTATTTTTTTATCTCGTTATCTTTATCATATATTATGTTCTATTAGAAAAAACAGTTTCCGCAAAGTCAATTTCTGAAGTTGATTCTCAAGGCGTTGAAACCCAACAAATTTCTGATGATAAAATTATGAATAAACTACCATCTGCAGATAATGATTTTACTCATCAACGGCCTTCAGGAATTCATTCTCCGCAGGAGCCTATAAATCACGAACAGCAAGTACCTTCACAACAAATTAATCAATTTAATTCAAGTACCTCAAGAGATTCTTTATCACCAGAAACGTTAGTTTGTAACCGAGAATAATATAAGCATGAAGCAGAGCATCAAGAAAACTTGTATTTCCGTAGCTTTTGTTGTTAACGCAATTGTTCCACCTTGTTTCTTATCTCTTCACCACGTGTCTTTTACCATTCCTCCTATCGATCATACCGCGCTTGTCATATCTTATTATTTGTTGGTAATAATAATTGGTTCTCACAGTGGACACGAACCGGAAACAGTTGAAGAAAACGAAGCCTTACGTGAAGTATCGATATCTACGTCTCATGATCTCTCGAAAGGAGGTTAGTTATTTATCGATAATCGTTTTGACATAACAAAATTTTTAAATCACAAACTAATACTTTTCCTTAATTTAGTTAAAGAAAAGAAAAAGAAATCAAACAAGCCAATTGGAAAAAAGAAGGTGAAAAGATAGATAGATATACACATAAAGATATTTATGTTAACTAGCTCACATTATAAATTTTTATTTAAAAAGGTTCATGAACAATTGCAAAAATGGAACGAAAGGAAAGAAGAACTACATCAAATAAATGATACTAACCAAGTTTGTAATAAATAATAAATGCACAATAATATTTTCTATATTGATTCGTACTTAATTTGCTATTTTAATATATACAATCCACAGCCTGAATTAAGTGATGACGGTCTTTTCGACTATACGTTAAATGCATGCCTATTATGTCACCGACAATTTATAGATTTGGCAGAACTTCAAAAACATGAACAGTTATCGGATTTACATAAGGTACTTCAAAAATTTTATATAATTATTAATGTCTTTATTTATAAAATTGCTTTATCATTTAAAAGTTGAATATGGAGAACGAACATCTAGTTCAAACTATTCGTATGAAGCGAGCATATGGATTACAAAATGATGGTGATTGTGAAAAACCTCAGGTATATATTCAAACTATATTTATGGCGGTGTTATTATATTCAGATTTTTATGATAAAACTTTTTTATTTGTTTTAAAGACAAGATATAACAATAGAGCGGCACAAAGAAGGAAAATTTATGGACAGCCCAGGAGACCTGCACCTCCTGCTGCGCCTGGATCATCCAATCCAGTTGAGGAAACTTATGAGCAGCCCACAAAATTTGGAATTGGAGAAGATAATATTGGAAATCGTTTATTGCAGAACATGGGATGGAAGGCAGGAGAAGGTTTGGGTAAAAATAAAAATGGTATAGTTGTTCCTATCCAACCAGAGATTTATACAGCAGGAGTTGGACTTGGAGCTTCAAATAGTCATAGCATATTGGAAGATGGACAGAATACATATTATGGGATGGCAAAGAAATTTGTAAGTATTTCTATTTATAATTAACTTATAATTGCTTATATATTTTTCAAATATTTATCAATAATATATATAATTATTATATTTTTATTAACTGATTGTATAGGCTAGAGCCCGGTTAGAAGAATCTTAAAGAACAATTTATAAAGTATTTTCTATGATTATCAAATATTTTTATTTTTTATTTTGTTATATTATTTTAAATCATTTATCAAATATCTTATTCAATTATACAATTTGTTTTTTCATGAATAATAAATTTTAATTATTGATATGTTTTTTAACTTGATTTTTTAATTTATTGATTTACTTAATATATAAAATAAAGGTTTATAGTTATTAATAAAAAATATTGTTTTATAAAATATGATTTTTAGCATATCTACTGATTTTAAATTGGTTTAAGATTTTTTATAAAAAAATTTTTTTTTTTGAATTTTCAGTTAGAGTTCTATTGGTTTATTAAAAAATTTTTATATATCAATATTATTATAAAAAAAAGTGATTAGTATTATTATTAAGATTTTTTTTACAATCTCAAATAATATGTTATCTTACATTACATCCTTTACTTTTTGTTTTTATTATACATTTTAGTAATAGAGAATTTTTTAGTATAAAAAATCCTATTTATCATTTATTTGTTACATTTTAATTTTAGTCAAGTTATATTTGAATAAAAAAATTTTATTATTTAAACAAATGCATCTTTTTCACCAATAAAATCAATGCTAAATTTTTTGTATTTTATGCAAATTGATATTTTAAAAGAAAATATTAAGCTTCAACCTTTACATAAAAGAAGTTAATACTTAATTATCAGCTATTTATTAAGAATTTTCTTAACTATCAGAATATATCTGATCTGAAATTTATGAGTTTTCTTTAGATTTCCTTCTACTTGAT